TGGGTTAGTGGTTCAAATATCCATGTCAAATGGATCAACACATGATGTTATAATTAAATAATGAAATACATTAAATTCTAGAAAATGTAAAAAATTGTAAATAAATTTGGGCACATTCTATAATATTATATATTCATTATCTATCCTCAAGATTTTAAAAACCAACCTAGAACTAGAACTGTTATCGCCACTGGTTTCTGGGTCAACGATTCAACTATGTGGGTCAAACGGTTCAGATGGGTTTCATTGTTAGGGAAAATGTTGGTATTAGTCTTTTAGACTTCTAATTTTTATGAGAAAGATGATGTGTATATTAGCTAAGAAAGAAAAAAGAAGAAAAGAAAGAAAGAAAGGAAGAAGAGAAAAGAAAGAAAGAAATAAGAAAAAAAAAAGAATGGAAGGAAAGAAAAGAAAGAAAGGAAAGGAGGGAAGAAGAAGGAAGAGGAGGATTCAACATTCACTGGCAACGGCGATGGCGACAATGTCTACGACAAAAATAGAAACACAGATCTTAGACCTGAGATCTACTTTCTCTCCGATCTGCAACCTCTACAATCTTCTTCTTCTTCTTCTTCTTCTTCTCTTTGTTGTACCTAGATCTCAAATATGAGATTCTTCTTGTCTCATATTTGAGATGTTCTCTTTTTTTGCTATACCCGTGAATCACTGTCCGGGTCGAATAGGTTGACACTTCAACCACTTGGGTCAACAGTTCTCTGACCAAAGTCAACGGGTTTTGGCCTATGAATGGGTTAAGGGTGAAACAAAACTGGTTGCCTGGACAGTTTCTGGGCTGAATGATCTGACCGTCTAGGTCAACAATGATTCAAAAACACTGTCTATACTACTTATAAAAGTGTGAATTGGGTGTAATTTTCTTGAATTTTCATTGGATAAAATTTCCCCCCTTCAACTTTTGTTATCTATAGGGTAAATGTGTATCTTGATAAAATCTTTAAATAAGATGGTTGAAATTGCATTAATCATCTATACTATATTATTATTTAAATAAAAGTATGAATGAGGGTGTGGAACTTTTCTTGACTAAAGTATCTATATTTGTGAATTTAATCCATCACTAATTGTGAGGGTTGAAAACATAATTTTAACAATTACTTTTCACTTCATTTAATCCCCTCTTATTAACTTTTATATTAAGGTMTTAACTTTCATTCTCCCTTATTAAATCTTATATTAAGTTATTTTTTACTAATAAATTCTATTAATTGATCTATTTTTAATACTTTTAAAAATATAAACCCATGCATTTTAAAATTGATACTAAAATTGGTTAACCCATGAACTCATAAATAGAGACTAAAATTTTCAAAACAGAAATAAATACAGAAAATTACAAAAATATAGAAAAAATTGGACATATTTATTATATTTTTATTAATCAAATTAAAATATAAGGGTAATAAAAAATTATTTTTATTGATGACAAAAATGAAAACATAATCTAAAACTAACAAAAAATGAAATTATTTTCTTATTTGGTGGATATTATTAGTTCTATTCTTGGGTCAAATGTGTTGGCTTGTTATGTTATAATTAAATAATAAAAATTAATAAAAGATAAAAAGACAAAAAAACATAAATTTTGCAAAAAAAGGGCACATGTATAATATCATATATTTATCATATTAAATAAAAAATTAGTGCAACATATTAGAATTATTTCTACACACATAGAAATATAAAAAATTATAGAAAAAAATTGAACATATCTATAGTTTAGATTTTGCAATCTACATTTGATTAATAATCAAATTGAATTCCAATTTGATTCTAATCGGTCCTAGATTAAAATCCGAATCCAATTATATTGTAATATTTATTGGTTTTAATATATAAAATTTATATAATTATATATAAAAATTCAATATGTTATATTTATATATGTATTAATTTATTATATATAAAAGTTGAAAAGTAATTAAATTTTTATTTTTATTTTAGAAATGAATGCGGAGTCAGATTAAAACCAAATCCAGTTGGATTCAAATGCAAGTTTTCAATAATTGGATCGGATTTGGATTTTACTCAATCTGATCCGAATCCGATTCATTTATAGCCCTATAAGTAGGGGGCTTTCTATATACAACATTCATTCAAAAGTCTAACCTTCTAGGGATATGTGCAGGTTTAGTGAAAAGTCAAAAGTTATAAAAAAAAGTGACAAAAGAAAATTGTTTGGTAAGCTTTCTAATTTTTCTTTAAACCCAATGGGCATTTCTTTTAATATTTTTAAAGATTGTGTCATTTTCGGCTTCCATATGAGATATTAAATCTTGTTCTCTCTCTATTTAAGGCATTTTTTCTCATAAATAAATTCAATTAAATAGATCTATATTCAATACTTTCAATAATATAAAACTCATATTTTAAAAAATGACCAAAAAACAAAACCCTTTTTTGTCCATGTTGCAAGTAAGCAATTCAATCATAGAAGTCAAATGGGTCAATCCATGATGCCATAATTAAATAATAAAAATATATATAAAAACAAAAAAATACATAAATCTTATAAAAAATGTAAAGCACGTGCGTACTTACATTTCATATATTCATTTCAATTTAACTATTATTTTATGTACATTATATATATATATATATTTATTTATATTTATGTTAACTTATAATTATAAATAAAAAATAATTATGTTGAAATGGAGACATTCAATGATATATTATTAGGCTAAATAGTCTACTTTAAGTTAAAAGATATTTAATTTTTAAATTAATTAATTAATTWATTTATTTATATTTTAGAATAAATATTGTTTAATTCATTCAACAAATAAAACTAGTGTTTTAAAAATTGACTTAGAGGCTGAACAGTTTTTGCTCAAGGTCATAGACCAACGGTTCAATTGTCTTGGTTGGACAAATCAAACCATGACACATCATACATCTGTATATGTATAATATGATATAATGTAATAACATTTTGTGTGTATATATTATTTTAGGTTCGATTTGTACTTTCTTATTTTAGTTTTTAATTTTTTATAAATAAAAGAGTCAAAAATTAAAATTTGAGACAACAAAATAAGTGTTTTTTTGTATAATGGGGTTGCAAAGATCATGAAAAGTTACCCAAAATAAAAAAAAAAACATCATCCCTATTGAGCACAAAATTAAGTCCTTTAGAAGTTTTCAATACATTAATTCTATACTATAACCCATGACTAAATGACTAGATCAAAAGGGTCAATGGCTTAACCGCCTAGATTGAATGGGTTTTGACCAAATCAAYGGCTTTTGACGAAATCATAGGTTTTAGGAAACCCAAAATTAGAAATAAGGTTAAGTGATGGTTCGAATGGTTTAATCATCTAAGTCAACCAAGGTTCAAAATATTGATATGCCTGATACACCGGTATGGGCGTATTAGGTGAATTGATACTCTTTTTGGTGTTTTTTTTTCGCCAACTAATTCAAGGGATACGGTTTAGGTCTTTGCCACACCCTAAACTGGGTTAGACCACCGATACACCCAATGTAGGGGCATATTGGTGGGGTGCCAAAACGATATGTATAGGCCAATATGGGCCGATACGTGTCGATACTTTGAACCTTGAAATCAAAGACGAGTTGCAAACATTGAATAAAACATCATAAAAATTATAATCCATATATATTCCTTTTGAAATAATAAAAATTAATTAACTATAGTAAAAATAATTTATTAAATTACTTAAATAAAATAAAAATAATTACTAATTATTATTACTGATAAAAATATTTTTTATTAATACAATAAAAACAAATAAGTTAATAAAATGTAATAAGATAAATTAAAAACTAATATCCATTTAAAATTAATATTAAACAAGTAGAAAATTGTCTAACAATTATTAGTTTTATCATTACTAAGGATTAATAAAAAGGAAATTTAATGAAAATTTATTAACTTAAATATAGTTTAATTAATTTAAAATCAACTTAAATTCTATTTAAAAATAGGGAAAWTTATAAAAACCTCCTTGGCTATTCTAAAAATCCTATGAACCTGCCCTATATATGTTTTGACCTTAACAAAAACCACCCATATTGTTTAAAAGAAAGGTGCAAATATTTTCCCTCCATTAGCATTCGAAATAGAAAATGTTGATGTAATGCATTAATTTTCTTTAAATACTAAACTTACCCTTAAGAAACTTTATTCAGAAATAAGTACAAACCAAAAAATATTTTGGTAAAAAAATGTCTAAATATAATATAAAAGTAATTATAAACCATAAAATTTCAAAAATTAATAAAAAAGTAGCATTAAGATACAAAAAACAATACAATTTTGTCTAGAGCATAGGAAATTTGCCACTCTCACTAAAGTGCAACTTGAATTGTGATTGAATAAATTAAACATAACCCAAAACAAATGCTTGAATTAGATTAAGATGAGCAACGTTTAATTGGAAATGTCATAAAGCTCCTTTCTCAAATTTTCTTAATAAAACCTGTGCATTGGATAGGTCCCGACTAGTATTTTTCATTATTTTTCAGCAGATACCACTGTTGTTTCTTCATAAAACCTTTAGGGTTGATTAATAGAAATTGGTGTAAAAATATGAGAAACATTTTAGGTTAATCAATACAAATTATTGTTATCTGAAATGTCAAATTTGTTGTTTTAATGGTTAGTCTCTGTGCATTTTTTCAATTGAAGTGACTTGACAACTCATCTTTCTCATTAATTTYTTTTAATCAACTCCAAACATTTCATAAAAACTGATTTGTTGTCAATAAGGCCTTGTCAAAAAGGCCTGATTTGTTTGCAGTGCAATTTCCATTGCAGTCTTGGCAGTGTTTGAGTACAAATCGGTTCGTTGAGTGCAGATTCTGGTTTATTTTTAGCTTAGCTTTCACCTTACTTTGTACTAGTGCAAATGGAACCTAAAGAGAATGAAATTGCACTGCAAACAAATTTGTACTAGTGCAAATGAAATTGCACTGCAAACAAATGGAACCTAAAGAGAATGAGGAGAAATCATGCAGATTGCATCCATACTGTGTTTTTCATATACAAAACCGTGGCATTATCACTAACTACTAAAAGGCCGAAAAAAAAACATATATATTTATATGATAAAACCATCAAAGTTCCAAATTTTGGGATTATTCCATCTAAAAGCATTGCCAAACTCCTAAAGCCATGGATCATGACTCCATGTAAATGGAAATGACGGATTAGCATCAAAAGATCAGGACCGTGGATATTCCTTGCATTCATGGAGATAACCACACTCTAGCAGAACCATTCAGTTCAGGATTGCATCGGTATTCTGCCATTCCCCATGTGGACTTGAGTTAGATAGACTTCCTGAGGGAGAAGATGATACTTGATTCCAAGGTTGTCAAATATCTTTTTCAATTCAAAGACAAGCTCTGATCTCCGGTTGTTCCTTTCACCATAGTTCTGATGGTTCATGGTGTGCATAACACACAGACACATCTTCATCTTGTGCACGTTCTCAATCTCTTTCACTATAACCGAGTGTTTGGGACTCCAATACTTTGGCTTGCTCTCGATGTATCTGCATTCACGTAAACATCTCTCTTAGAATTACAGATATTTGTTTACCAAAAAAAAATGAAGAATTTACAGTTATTTATTATGGAAAAAGACAGGAAAACTAACAGGTATTGCCTACGTTAGAGCATTCTTAATATGCAGCTGAATTTACACACACACACGAAATAAATTAAGGAAATGATGAGCTGCAAATTGTTCATTTAATGATGGGTAGATACTATGGTTCAGTTYGTTTGCAGTGCCAATTTCATTTGCATTGGTGTAAATGAATGGGAGTGCAAATTGGCTGGGTGTAAACTCTGGTTTATTTCTTTATGAGAAGTAAAATGACGTGATCCCCACCTTATATGAAAGAAATGCAGGTAGGAGGGTTATTTTTGGGAGTGACATAGGAAGCAAGATGATGTAATCCCTATTTTATATGAGAGAATTAAAGTAGGTGGAAAGGTGGTACAAGTTTTGCATTAGTTTTTGGATGCAAAATTTGCACTGACAATGAGTGCAAATGATACAAAGTACAAATTTTATATCGTATGGGAGTGCACTGCAAAAAAAAGAGCGTATAGTGCAACTCATTATTGGTAATTTTTGTACTATTTTCAGCAACCCCTACCCCAACACTCCTAAAAAGCAAAAAAGAAACCCAACCAAGAAAAATCCAATCAAATGCAGAAAAAAAAAATTATATCACCAAGTGATGCTTTTCAATGGTTTGGTATATATTTGGGCCTATGGTGATCCACCAAGGCTCATTGATTGGAACGTATTTTCCATTTAGATGCATTCCAGCACAGAGACAGAATGAAGGTTTTGAGTCGTATGAAGAATACTGCAATGCATCTGATGATGGTACCTTCCCTACGCAACCTGTTATCTTTTAATTGTTACCAAATGACCTGTCATGTTTCTTCTAAGTGGAGGGATGATGTGGTCAATCCAAATTGTCAACCCAGAAGGGGATTTCGCATTGACCACCTGTGAAATTATTTGATCTCCCATCAGCCCTATACCCCACCTTTTATTACTTACAGTGTCTTGAAGTGAAAGTTTCAGTCTTTAGATAAAAATTGTCAAGAGAGGGGTTTTATTATGACCATGCATATTCCATATTGCAGGGATTTTGGGGTTCAACTTGTCCAGTGGAAGATTCCTTGGTATCAGTGAACCCTCTGGATGGGTGAAAGGGATACTGTCTGTGGATCAGTAAGATACAAGGGAACTTCAGTACATAGAGTGATCCAACTGTTCCGCTTGAATCCCCAAAAGACCTTTTCCCGTTAAAAAGACAAGATAAAAGGTAAATGAACCTCAACGAATTAGATTTCTCAAAAGAGAAAATCATACTCTCTGCTGGATTGCAGTCCAAAAACCAGCCAACCATATGGTTCTTATGCATTGACCATGGCTAAATGAACATCCTACGCTATGGGGTTCATAACTGGTGTAATTTAATGATTATTTAGAGATCTGAATAGGAAAGGAATTTACTTACGTTTGTATAGCCTTCTTAAGAGCAGTTACATTCTCGACAGACGTGGATGCATCGATGGTGAAATCCACAGAGTCTGACATGTCTGGACTTCGGTAGAAATTGCTGATTGGCTTTGTAAGTAGAACAGAGTTGGGATAGTAAATTTTCTCCATGTCATATCGGAGGAACACTGTTGTCAAGATGTTCATTTCTTCCACAATCATCTGCAAAAAGGGAAAAGCAAATGATAACGTCCAAAGCTTGTAATGGGTTACTTAGAAATTATGTAACACAAGGATGAAGCATCCTGGTTTCAAGCAGAAATCAACAAATACAACATTCAACCTGGGGGGGGGGGGGCAACTGTTGGGTAAGAATAACGAACACAAGCTTTCTATTAGATGAAACTCTTACCTGAACGCCGTCGATGACACAACGGTCACCCACATCAAAGGGGTGCATGACAAAGACAAAGATGATGGACTCAAAGATAGTCTTGCAGGTATTCTGAAACATGAACCCCACCAGTAGCAGCTGGGATGTGACCACAAAGACGACTTTTGTTGTAGCCAACCCCATGACAAGAAGGGACTCTACAATTATGATCACAATTACAATTGCACTTGCTAGCTTGTGAAGCTGCTGCACTGCTGTTTTTGTATCATTAAGAGAATGTGCCAGAGCTTTCCTCTCAACGTAAGCTCGTACCTGGTAAGTTAAAGGTAATCGCCTAACTCATTTTGTGAACAAGTATATGTTTAGCAGGAAATTCAAGGTCAGCTTAAGACAGTAAAGTCTTTAATTCTTGAGAGTCTCCATGAACATTAAGTGATTGAACACTAGATAATGAAGTAATGGTGGGATGGGGTGCTAGTATTCATCATTGCAGGTATCCAGYTACTGATCATTGGTAATCCATCTTCTAGTTGACTCATAAAGACAAGATAATGATGCAGAGAAGATGGCACTAACTACTGTATGTATTTGTCAGAACCACTGATACAAAGTGATGATCTATCCAAATACGAAAACTATAAATTGTTAGGGTCAAGAGGCCCAGATAAATAAGAACTTTGGAAACAAGAGGTTCTCCTTCTCCATTCCCATCCTTAATTACTTGTCAAAGGTGACGGATGGATGCAAATGGAGTCCAAAGTTTATCATGAATATTGGGGAACAGTAGCTTACCACCCAGTTTCTGAAAGCAGACTTCCGAATCTGTCCAGTCTCGAGAGCTCCTTCAAATAGAGGGAATATGGTATGAATCTCCTCCCTTCTTAAGAATCTCATTAGATCCTCCTCTTCAATATACCTGCAAAACTCAAGCTATGAAAATTCAACTCCAGTTTCACTCCCCTTTTCCCAGCTGCCTGCAGCGGCAATCCTAGGACTAGGAGTGGAAGCTCTTGACCGGGCCTATACTTACTATACACCTAATGGGCTGGGCCAAGGTCAATGACTCTATCAATAAGCACAGCCCTCTCGGCCTCGGGCCTCCCCACCCCATCTGCTATTTATTGCTTGGAGGGTATTCTTGTCGTCTTGGCGAGTAGAACATTATTCACCGTTCGATTAGTGGGGCTTTTCTGCGATTAATCTTCCAGCCACAGATCACATTGTGATGATCCAGTGAGTAAATACTTGAACGTTTTCCCACGAGTGAGTGATGATATCCTTGGATCTGATAATTCCGCCAACCCCCCTAGGCCCTAGAGAAGGGTACTTATAGCTTTAGTGGCCCCCACCCCATCAAATCACACAAACAATAATGCACGAGAAAATCTAGGCCACAGTTTAAAAATGATTAACATCTGAACCGTTCAATCCGGATCTTCCCTAACCCGATTCATTAAACCATAGCCCCAGAACCCACAACACCCCAACTCCGGCCCGAACTCCGAATGGTTGAAAAACCGAGACGTAGACAATGCGCAACCGGCAACGGCAAATTCGACAGAAGCACCGAAGCAAGGTTTGCGCATATCAGCCAAAATTAACTAAAAAACACAAGCAAAGAGACAGAGACAATGCGCAACAAAAACACTAATAAGAAGAAAGTAAAGAAGTAAGCACACTACTCACTTGGCTCCTGGTTTAGCGACGTTCTTGAAGATGCGCTGCGCACTGCTCCGGGCCTCCCATTCGCTTGTGATCTCCGACTCTGCGTTGGCGAAATCATCGACGGTCCTCGATATCGTCGACAGACCCGTCGATCGAATGAAGGTCACCAGCCTCTTAATGCTCCAAGCAGAGGGTGTGCTCTCCATACTCAGCTTCTTCAGCTTTTCCATGTCTATTTTTCTTGATCCAAACTTCTTCGACAACCTCTTCGCGTCCCTGAACCTCGCCGGCAAGGACTTCGATGGCTTCAGGTTCCGGCGATGCGAGGGCACCCTATCCACATCGTCAAGTGGCGGACCCGAGAGCGCTTCCAGAACGTAGTGGTGGAATACGCTCTCTTTCATCCGGTCGAAGAATGTGGTCACATGGAACGACGATGCCAACATCTTGACAAGGATTATCTTGATGAGCCAGATGGTGGCGCCTATGAGGAAGGCGACGAGGGCTCGGAATACCTTTGCCAGGGTCTTCTTGTCTTTGTGGACTTCTGGGTTCAAGTCGAACATGAGTGTCCAGGCCAACAGAACCAGACCTAGCCAGACACAGTTCTGGACGCTCTTACGGAGGCCGTAARCGAAGTAGAGCACCTTCTCTCTGAGCATGAAATTGCGCTCAATGACGAAGACGAGAAAACCCACGAGCCAGCCCGATACGAGACGGCCGCAGAAGATGACCATGACCATCAAGCACCATTCCCAAATCTGGAGACCCCATATCACTTGATTCTTGAGATGTTTTGCGGTAAGGGACGTGATCAAGCAGGTGATTATGATAATGAAGGAGCCCCATTCGATTACAGCTCTGCAACCTTTCTTCTTCTTCTTCTTCCGGTACTTCTCGGGTACTTCTTCCTCGTGCTCATCCTCCCAGAAATCGTCTTCGTCGTCGCTGTCGTCGGTGGTTGATGGGGAGTCTTCCTTGGGATCAAGAGGTTCGACTAATTCAGAATCGGGGATGGTTTTGAGGCCAGGTGGGTAGTTGATTTCGACGAAACGAGATTTAGGCTTGTAGAAGTTGAGGCGACGGAGGGTCCGTGTAGTTGCTGGATTGTTAACGCTGTGGAGTGTTTTTTCTTCTCCGGCATTTGGGTCGTCGAGCGCTGTTTCTAGAGACTGTTTGGGTTTTGGATTTTGCTGGTCCATGACCAATACAACTTGGTCTGTGATCGGCTTTCCCTTCTCTGGATTCTGCATCTGTTTTTCCTCCACAGTGAGAAAGATGAGAGAGAGATGGTATTCAGTCTCGTACTTCAGAACAGCTTATTTATATTAGTAAATGAGAAAATAAAAAGTAAAAGCTGTGGAACTTTTTGGTCACTTTTTTTTCATTTTATATAAATTATATAAATGTTTCAGAAAAGGGATATGCTGTTGGACGGTTCAGATACGATTAAAAAATATGGATAAATGTCGACCGTTGAAGATATGGAAGCCTGAATGGTATACATAGGAGCTCCCTGATGGACGAACTAAACTCAGTACAAGGTGGAGGTGTTTGTGGTGGTGCATCGATTCCAATCTGACGATAGAAATGAAAGGACATTTTGAATGTCTGTAAAGGCCCATTCTAGGACCGCCAGAAATTTTTGCCAATGCTCGGGGTTGCACGAACTTCCCTCTCCATCCCGGGTTATAAATGGACCGGGTTAAACAGTAACCGGACTCTACATCAATCTGTTAGAGGGCCGCTTTGGCATGATCAACCAACGACCTTGTCCAAGGTAGGCCAGTAGGAGTAGGATCAAGAGACAGTTGCACACAGAACATACCCACATGGTCCGACCCTTTGGTATTGGTCGGGTTAAACTTGGATTGTTCCGTCCAAATTTCACTACTAATATCATGGTTTTAAAAAACGGCCTGGAAATGGAACAGCTCTGGCCATCGGTTTTCGGGTTGATGGTTTGATCGTTTGAATTGAATGGATATAGCTCGTTCTGACAACAAAAATTAAAAAAATAAAAAAAATGGCCAAAATTGTTGAATGGGTCAATAGTTCGACTGCCCGGGTCAATGGATCGTTGATTGATTCAACCGTTTTTGGCCAAAAACCAGGTTTGGGGTAAAATGGAATCGGTTGCTTAGACAATTCTCGGGCCAAACGATTCAACCACCTAGGTCAATAGTGGTTCGAAAACCATTACTATGCATTCCTAACATGGATTCATGTTGACTTGGCTACTAGACCTATTCATGGGCCAGGTAGCCCGATGGCCCGACTCGGCCCAGCTTGCACCCCAATCGGGCTTGGACATGTAGTTAAGCCTACAGGCCTGACCTTGGGCCCAAAACACCAAGCCGGATTGTGTTTCAGGTCGGGCCTGAGATTCGTTAAAATAGCCCAGGTTGGCCCAACTAATTTATATAATAATGAAATATATAATATTTATTATAATTTATATATATTAATAATCTAATATATACATTTTTTATTTTTTTTCTTTATAATTTCTCTATCTCTCTCTCTCTCTCTCTCTTTCTCTTTGTTCAGTGATAGCAATGGCAACAAGTTGAGCTTTAGACTTCAGACTTGGGCACAAGCCTAGGCTTCGGGCTTTTTTATGAGGGTCGGGCTCGGACACAAGTTGTAGGCCCGATGGTCGGGCTGGGCTTGGGTTCAAGCTTTAAAAAAATATGTTAATGAAGAGTGAAACCCTGACCCATCCTACGAACAAGTCTATTGGCCTAATAAGGTTGGTTGATTGGCATTATAGGCTGTTCAATGGTTTGGTCATTTTAAGCAAGGTTTTGAAAACCAGATCGAACCAATGGTCAGAATGATTGACCTAGGACTGTCTAGGCAACCGGTTCTATTTCACCCTAAAATTGTTCCTGAGCCAAAAAACGTTGACTTGGTTAGTAACCCACTGACCTGGGCAGTCAAACCGTCAACCCATTGACTCACACAACAGTTTTTGGCTTCTTTTATTTTAATTAATTTTTTTATTTTTTTATTTTTTAAATCAGAACAAATCATTAGTTCAAACCAGACGATCAAACCGCTAACACAAAAACTAGTGACCAAAGCGATTCCAATTTCGGATCAATTTTTAAAACATTGATTTAAGAATACCATTTGTTCGTTTGATCTTTGGGGGAGAGCTATCCCGCGGGTTGTGTAGCCTATTTTTTTCTTTATCTACATTAGGAAATAATCTTTCCAGAATCCAAGCCCAAAAACCAACTGCTAAATAGCAAAACTTGTTTTCATAGAAAAGTATATTACCAAAAATAGTAGAAATTAATTCCCAAGTTTCAACAAGAAAGCCTGTATAACAAACAACATAACCCTGGATTATTCATCCAATCAGTATTCTAAAACTATTTATACAACAACAATAATAATAATAATGTTGTTGTTGTTATCTTACCCATTTATAAAAAAGAAGAAATGGGTGAATCGTCTAACACCCTAATTTTATATTTCCAATCCTACCCCTCCATGATTTTATATTTCTAATCCTATCTCCTCTTAATTTATTGATTATAAATTATGGATAACTTATTGATTATTCAATAGATTACTGAAATTATTGAAAATTTATTAATTATTCAACTAATAAATAATTATTGAAAATTAATAATTGATTATTCAGAAAATTAGTGTAATTCTCATCATTACATTTTTAGAAAATTATTGATTAATTTTAATTGAAAATAACAGATAAGTTAGTGCAATTTTGGAATTTTATGACATTTTTTAATTTTTGGAATATTATCAAAAAATTTTGTAATTATTGAAAATTTATAATTATGTTATCATAATTTATAATTATTGAAATTTTTATTATTATTAATGTAACTATCTTACACTAAAATAATTGTTAATGTAGTTTAACTAATTCCTTTTTTCATAATTTCAAATAGTAATTCCCATTATTTAATAACTTTTGAAAAATTAATAATAGAAAAAACTATAAATCTTGATTTAAAATAATGGAAATTAATAGTAATAATTATTGTTACATAATTAACAATTTTCCATTTTGTATCAATTCCAATAATGTAATTATTAAATTACACAAATTTCCATTATTTAAAAATAATAATTACTACAGAATCATAAATTACAATAAAATCGGTTAAATTTATAACAATAATTATTGGAATTTTATTGCTGATAGTAATTACAGTAATAATTATCATTGGAATTTACATTTTCAGAAATTTATTAATGTAATTTTATTAGTAGCGTAATAATAATTATTAAGTTACATTAATTATTATAGTAAAATTTGTTATTTTCAAAATACTGTAATTACAGTAATTTTGAAATAACTGTACTTCCAATAACAATTATTAGTGTAGTTAAATTAATTATTTTTTCAAAATAATTATTACACTAATAATTGTTGTTGGAATTTTGGTGTAGTAATTAAATAGAGTAATCATTATAATAAATATTTTACTATAGTTACAATTTCTTAAAAGTAATTTTATTACACTAACAATTAAATTGTGTTATTTTCCAGAAAAATTACTATAAATCAATGAATATACAGAATTTTCAACCAATAATTTCTTTATAAATGTCACTTAAAATTCATTAGAAATTATAAAATTAAAAAATAAGTCAACAATTATCGCTCCAGGAAAGAGTTGGTGGAGTTTGCAAATTGACAAACAAAATATCATAATTTTGGAGAAAAAATAAAAAATATATTAATGTAATTTTGGAAAATTTCTTTAAAATGTAGTAAATAATTATCGAAAATTATTGGAATATTTTGGAAAATTGGGAAATTTTCTTATATTTGATAGATTTTGGAAAATTATTTAAAAATTGTGTGATTTTCATTTTAAATTATTAAAGATAAATTAGTATTGGTAAAGGAAAACGGTAATTTGAACCAATAATTACAAAATTATTTCTGTTATTAATATTAATTAGTATAATATTGGAAAATTTTAGAAAAGGAATTTATTAATTAACTTATATTCAAAAGTATAAGATAAATTAGTGTAATTTTGTAAATAATATATTTAAAAAGAAAATAAATTATTTAATATATTTAAAAAATCAATAATTTAGTATATATACTTTTGGAAAGTTACTAGCAGCTGACATTCAAGATATCCTTTTGATCATTTTTACTAGCAAATTAGACATTGGGTTTTCCCGTGCATCGCCCGGGTCCCCTATTAGTTATTATTAAAATCAAATAAAAATGTATATGATAGGGCAAAATGAAGATTGTTTTTGTTATTTTTGAGTGAATTGAACTTTTGAAGCACTAGGATCAGCTATCCACAGGTAGAGTTGTTCATTAGGTTGGGCTCGGGTTTGGCTTTTTAGAGTCCACATCTGCACCTCACAATGGGGTGCCCCACAGCACATCCCGACCTTGTATTAGAAACATCTCCCGTGTATGTTTTATCATCTTACATACTTATCATCGGAAGATATTCCCAATACAAGGCCGTGATGTGCTGTGGGGTATCGTGGGGCCCCCCTTATGGGACGCTGATGTGAATTCGGCTTTTGCTAAAAGTTGAATGGATGCAGCCCAAAGTCCTAATTCAATGTAGTAGTACATCAGGACTGATTTTTGAGATTGGAGGATAAGCTGTTTGGAAGCACATACAAGGTAGTTAGCTCTTTCCATCAATAAATAGGAAAACAAAAAAAGAAAGATTGCTTTGAAGGGAAAGGAGATGTTTTAGTAAAAATTTGATTTATTTCTTCTTTTGGTTAAGGCTTGTTAAATTTTTATTTATTTCTTATTTTTTTTGGTATGTGTGCATGCTAATRGAGGGTATAGACGTATAGTGAAATATCTTAATCTTCTTAATGGGTTCCCCTTTTAGGCCAAACATATATTCTTAACAGTTATCTAAAGATGATATTGCAATCAAAAGTCATTCATGACAGTTTCAACCTGAGGATTTTTAAGCTCTTTCTTGTTTAAACACCAAACCAGTGATCAACCTGGTTTGGCCATTTAACGGGTCATCGGTTGGTCTCTATTTTTAGACATAGGRTTGAATAGAAGTTTCTTTAAGATTGGATTGGCAAATTTGTGGTTTGGAATAAATTTGAGTCTGAGCTAAGGTTCATATTTGAGGTTAGTCTTGGATTGGCCCTTAATCTGACCTAATCCATTTAATCTATACCCTTGCTTTATTAAGAGAGTCAAGAGGATTCAAGAAAGACTTGGGGGGTCTTCATTTTTCGGATTTTGAGAGGAGGAAAGTTGGTCAATAGGATTTAGGTTCCCATTGACCAAGAATACCATGCTCTTTTT